AAGGACTGAATAGTTATCTGGATCTAATTCTCAGTGTTCCTTCACTTAACACCTCATCCTGTTTTAAACTATGCACTATCCTGTAATATCTTTTCTTCCGACCACTGCCTGCCTAATTTCATATTCTCGAGTTCCATTGCCAAACAACAAGGATGACACTTCTCCAAAAAATACGGTGAGTTCCAGCTATAAGTTTTCTGCAATCATAAGTTCATTTTAGATGGCTCATTCAATGGCACACACAATTATCTGGATTCATTCAGTTGTTCTGATCAGAGCGAGTCCCAAAAACCTCAACAGCATCAAGCACCCTGGAAGTGATTGCCATACTGCATGTTTTATTCTGGATGCTTTTGGATCATTACTACTCCTCACGAATGGCGTTATATATGTCGTCCACTGAATAATCTAATTTTCAAAAATAACCAAGGCGAGTTCAACTATTTTACTTAATGATTTTTTTACGTTAACATGTATATGTTTTCCGGTTCCTTTTGCTATATATTTGTAAGTGTCCCTAGGCTAAATGCAGTAACTTCTTATGGAATGTTTATAACGCGTCATATTCCTGCCTGAAGTTTCACAAGCAGTCTTAACTTTAAAATTATTTTCTGGTCATGTTCATTATTTTTAAATCGTCATATACGTCAACAACCTGCATGTTAACCTGGCCCATACATACGTTACACTATATCTTCATGTCTTCTAAATTTAGAAATCATCTGGATCGCCTTTAACATTTATCAATAAACCCATCATAGTCGTTGTTGCTAATCGTATTTGGGTTTATGGATTGGTTTATCATATTAGCAGCCTAAAATGCGAACATAGTTTAGATAATAAGATTAAAAATTTAGGTACTATCAACTGCACTAGTAAAATAACTAAATCCCAGGTAGCTGTTGGCTAAACAAACGTTTAAAATCAAAACTCCGTAGCCTACTAGAATTAACACTAAACGAATATTTCTGAATTGAAATTTATAATTAAATTAGGCGTCTCGGATTCTTTAACGTTATAAATTTCTGATGATTTCGAATCACCTAAAGCAACAATACCTATTTTTCCACTGACTAATCCTCAATCAACACTATAACTAGTTAAATTTAATAGTTTCAGGATATCGTCATAAAGCATTGTCATAACTTGACAATCACGTAATATGATTGATAAAATTAATGAAACTATTAACAAAATCGGTCAACAAATTGACTTATAATTACCATTAGTGTTGTTTTCTTGGTATCTTCATCCATCACAGATGATTACAGTATGTTTCTCTATCAGTTGCTCATTCAGTAAATATCTCAAAACCTTGTCAGTCTAATTGATGGTTTAGCGACACAATCATGCATGCAAATAATCAGTATAAGCAGTCGAGCAAATCTCCTGCAAACTGAAAACATCAATGTCGAATTTACCCCAACACTGACTAAGGTTCAAGCCATTATCATAGACATGAGTTGGGAGTGTACTCCCCTGGTTACAACTTATGTTCTCCCTGATAATCACATGAGCATCACTCACTATTAATCATCTTGTAAAAACTTATTTAGCTAAATACATCTTGCAGCACCACATCACTTCGTAATATGACACAGGCCTAACTGATTTTAATAACTTATAACCACTATATCTCAATTAAATCGTATTCCGCCTTATGATAAACTGCATACTTGCAACTAACTTGTATGCCCAATCAGCCGGCAAGTATAAATATAAATAAATAGTCTGCCACAGATCAGAACATTGAGTCTAGAGCATGTCTCTTACGAATACACTCATGTTTAACGATTTGTTCCTAGCTATCTGTCCAAAATTCATATAATTATCACTCATGTATTTAAATTTTATTTTGATAACCATTCATGTGTATTAGTAGTATTACTAAATTCTATCACGGTCAAGTAAAAATGAGGTTGAGAAAATCTCCCCGTAACTAAATAAACCGTATCAAACTAACTGGAACACTAGTTGGAATTCTTCTCCACGGTATACTTTTGTTCCTTCAGTTAGCCTACTAATACAGATGCAATTGGAAATCAACTCATATGGACAACTTACCGGCATAATCGTTATTTGATTTCATAATTTAAACCAAAACTAATACCAATATTAACATTTCTACAATATTCATCACTTTAATATTTCTAAACACAAAATACTTACTACCTATACGTTAAGTTATTAACCAACGGCTATTAACACGCATCGTTTTATTATTATTATTATTGTAACCCCATTTTTTATAGCTCAAATAATCTTCACCCAAATTTTCATTTTAAGCGTGTTAAGCATGAAGGCAGATTTTTTAAAATTATTACATGTATTTCCCGACCAGATGCTGCCGCCTTCTTTTTGATTTATCTTTCAGCTTACCAATACCCGGAGGATTCTTATTATCCTTGGTAACCTCCGGCGCGCGACGATCCCATCCAATTTGGTATCGAACCAACATCACGTTGATTCTGGTGGGAGAGTAGTGTAGTGGCATTGGACAATAGCCACACAATCCACAAAGCTGTGAACACGAGACTACTCAGAAAATAGATATTCAATATTTAACGCGGAGAAATACCTAACGATGGAGAAGGCGCGAACAATGAATTGAATGGACTGGAGTTGATCGATGGCATGACTCGGCCATGCAGGCGTGGTCCATCTCAATGTTACTTTATATCTTCTATTCATATTAAATATATTGTTCTTTCTCTAGCCTAACCTTGTTCTACATCATGTATTGGTAATTGATACGATACAGTGAGTTGGTGTAGTCGATGGTGTGACTTCCACGTAAGATCTTATAGATTAGGCAGTTATATCATGACAAATCTACAAATTTAGGATTAGGTCTATTATTAGAGCAGTACTAATATCATAGTAGACCATAATTCTACAGTTCTTCAAAACTGTTGCACGCGTTATTGATTTTACTGGACATTACCAGATGAGGGTGCTCAGTCAGGCATCGTCGTCGGATGACTACGCACTCAGTGAGCAGTATTGTTACAATCATCTATCAGATAAAGCTGACCAAATACTAGATATCGTCTTTTTTAAACAAAATCGTTCTATAGAATGGCATTCAAAGAAATCCGCCTAAGCGAGATTAGTTACTTATAATGATCTCAATGATTAACTTTTTAAAACACTTTTCGGACCAGAGGTACTTTAACTAGGAGTACTTTTTCCCAGCCTATTCAGAGGTTTGGCAGTAAATATTTAGTTATGTCGCAGATAAACTACTTGATATGGATAGGTTAAATTACCTCCCTACTGAGGTATTGGGCAAATACAAACTCTTCTACTTAAAATCTTAATTCTCTTCAATAAGCTATTAGCTTTTAAAGTAGGGACGGAAGTCAGGTATGTGATGATCGTTGTGATTTTCAAATACTGAGTAACCTTGGAATCCAAACTAAGTTTTGGACTGAAGAATAACCGTCTAGGTAGTTTAAATACGCGCTACTGCCCAGTTGAAACCAAAACAAGGTGATTGGGCCAATGACGGTTCGCCCAGTTATTCAACCAATAATTGTTCGAATAGTATGCAAACCATTCGCAACAAATAAATGTTGTTTTATCTTTTCTGGACTGGTCACGTACAGGTTCATTTGAAAGATAGTATTTATTTACTTTATAACACAGAGTGTTTCCAATTCTGGAAGAGTGTTTCAATTCACAATCAACAATGCACAATTCGAGTCAATGCAAACAACTCATATCAATGTGGCAGCCTCCAAGACTGAGAACCAACCAAAATAACATAAACGCAGTTCAGGAAGAAACACGGAAACTCAGTGAAGGCGTAAGAAAAATAAAAACCATAACAAAAAGCAAATACTAACATCTTAAATGTAATAAAAAAACTAACAATGTGCACAACTGAAGAAGACAATAGGAACAAATTACAACTGTACGCACAGAAGTATTTTTACACAGAAAACCTTCAAAATGGATCTTGCAGTAAGTTAGGTAACACAACATGCACAATCTTCGGTCTGTACTCTTCTATGGTCAGAGAAATTTCATCGGACCTAACTAAAAGATTCGTCATTCCTGCCGTTTAATATTCAATATTTAATTGATCCCTATCAGGGTCAACCGACGTTCATCAAAAAATTGCACACCATGAACCGGTCGGTAGTAAAGTGGTTTCACTATTTTCCTTGTACCTACTCTTATTGGTATATTTCTGTAATAACGTTATTCGTGTTGCATGGCCATCAGCCATATTACGTGGATATGACGAAAGGGTAATCCAACTTAATTAACGATGTGGTGGTATTTTCACGTAAGCTGGAATTTCACATCGTTAACGTTACACTCGAGTAAGCCTTCAACCATTGACACAGAAAACCTACGTTGGTAATCTCCACTTTCTGTAGTCAGCTTTTCTTCTAATAGTGGTAAAATTGGAAACCACTAGTTAGTGTTAAAATTAGGAAAAACTATATTTGCAATAAGTTGAGACTGGAATTGGAGTACTCTCAATGCCCCCGGTCCATGCATATTCAACAAAACATCAGAATTATCAAATGTGAAATAAGTGTGCTAAAATAACTGTGTAGATATGGGTACGTAAATCTGATGAAAGGTAAGTTCATCCATTACATAGCGTTTGATTGGGAAGTTATTACACTAGTCTAATGTTAGATCAGATTTCCTCGGAAAGTTCGCACCAGACTGCCAACTGAAGCGTTGAGTTTAATGAAAGTTCCCTCACTGAGATTTTGCAAAAAAATTTCCTTCCTAATGAATCAAATATAATCGTCGTAGAACTACTGTTAAACTGTTTTTCAATAAGCATCTCGTCAGGCTAAAAAAAAATCATCTTGGCTTTTGTTTCAGTCATGTCGTATCTGATATAGTGTTACCATTAGTACAACATTATAGGGTTTATCTATTGTTGTGTTTGAGTGTACCAAAATGTGACCTTGAGCTCAAGTGATGTTATAACTCTATTTTAAGTATCCGAGAGTAACGTGTGGTAACTCAGTATGCCACGCTGTCGTAAAGAAAAAAAGATTCCTTACAGGACTGATGATATGGTACAAAACGTTAGAAGTTCTTTTATTAGAGAAGGAGAAAATAACTTGCGCAACTACTCGGAACCTGTTGACGATCGCATGAAAGTAAGCATATACTTATGACTGCACTTCATTTTTTATCTCAGATTTAGAGATGTATTTGGATAAGCTTCAGTTTATTGTGTGCTCACTAGCATTTTAAATCTGGGAACAACCGTTTGTCTAGTCAGACAAAACGTTTTAGTCATGATTATTTTATAGGAAAAGCATTTTACATATTACATTGCATACTACATTTTTTACACTTTTGTCGTTCAACGAACATGTAAATCATAAAATGCAAAGTCCCTTTACTTTGCTCAGAAAGATTTGAGCACCAAGATTCTGAAATTTTATTCAAATTCATCATGGTATTTATTCAACACTTAGTGCTCTTCTCTGGGAAAGCCATCATAAGGGAATTAAGCATCACATGATTTAGAAATGAATAGTTTGAATTTTGCTCATAATATGAATCTTGATTCATGCGTCAGGTTTATAGTCACGTCTATCTGTGTCAGAACATGGTTGACTAAATTAAATTGAGAGGAGAGAGTTATTAGTATACGATATGACTGAAAGTCAAGAACTTTAGCTCTTTATCTTCCATTGTATATGACAGTAAATTTTGGCTTCTGGGATTTAAGATGGCTTCATTCTTAAAAATACATACTGCTAATTGTAACTCGTCCATACGAAAACATTATCTGCATTGCATTGGTTTTTAGGGTTTATCAAAGTAATCGATGCTTTTATCTGATATTCATGAAATAAAACTTTTAACTTGTAATAACGGTATAATGTAAACTCAACTCACTCCTCATTTTTGTCAGTTTGAATGAGTTTCTAAACACGAAGGATTCTAAAGCAGTTTGCAGTGATTTAAGACAACTTAATTTCAGAGTTTTGCAATCCTTATAAACGAATAATTCAGTTTTTTAACATAAGTGTTGCTACCTAGAAAGGTGACTACTCTCAGTTTTAGCTCACTCGTCAGATAATTGAGTGTTTATTTAGTGTGTCTTATGAAAACCCTTGGTATTTAAATCAGTTCTCTTTTTGTTCATAAAAACATGAAACTGCAATATAGTAAGGTGTCACAGTTTGTGTACCTGTTAGAGAATTAACATTGACAATTGCACAACATTCTCAGAAGCTTTAATTAGGGCTTATATCGAGCTGATGAACTGGGAGTTTATGTACTTTGTTTCGATTTATCGTATTTTCGGTTACGGCGCAGAGTTTGTTAAAAACGTAATTAAGAAACAGAATTCGCTTTGAGTTTACAGAATGTTTTTGAGATTTGGTTAACCTTCACGTAGATGCTTTAAGCACTTAACTCATTTATTCGTCTAGTTATCACCTTAAGTTTTAAATCCACTTTGTCTGTTCTTGTATGATACCAAAATGACAATCTATAGAATCTGTGACCTATCTTAAACATAGACCTGTGTTTGAAAATCCATGGATTAGTTTCAGTTAGTCATATGTAACTTAAAACCTGATAGACATATATCTATATATTGGTTCAAGTTCTAATACTGCACTAACGCTGCTAATTAAAATTATTTCTAAACAAATACCGGAGTAGTAGAGGTAAGAAAGATGCTAGGATTATAAGAAGAACTTGGGTGACAAAAAATCGGTTCAAAGGTATCATGATATTTTAGAACACAAACTTCACGGAAAGAGAAATAACAAACCTACCTGCTCCACTGAAGGCGATTCTAAGCCATGTCACCCAAAGCTTTTAACTACGAGTTGTGATAGTCACTTGAAATTCATTCTGTTAGTCTACACCTATCCATGTATCTCAGACCAGTTTTAGCTACTTCAAGAACTAGTGCCACGTCATGGTTCGGTCGCTCTTGGTATTCTTCTAGCCTACTCCAACAGCAAGCAGCATAGTCCATCATTTGACCCCACCTAGTCAGTATAAAGAACCCGCACGACTTATCCTTCGTGTCTTCGAGGTCTTCATTGTTACTTTCCGTGTTCTCTTTGAAGTAATTATAGTATGAAGTGAAAGTGCCGAACAAATTATTTTTCTGGATGGATTCTGATAGGCCGTCGCTTGTGCTTTGTTCGACCAAACAGGACAGTGAGAATTCAGAAAGATATTGACGCACGACGTTGGTTGTTCGCTATCTTCGTTTAGTCGCTCACTGATTACATTCGGATTAGGTAAAAGACGAATTTTATGGAAGGCTTTTTATCCTACTTCGATAAGCTAAATAATCAGATGTAATAATCGTGCTGGTGGTTTCGATGTCCAAGTAGGCAGTATAAACAGAACTAAAAGGCACTCAGACTAGTTGAAGACAATAGTCTTTTGTATTATGTAGTTGAAGAAAACAGAGCACACAAACGATATATTAGAAATCTTTATATTGGATAAAATGACGAGTATTTGTACGCTATTATGTATTTGGACATGATTTTTGAAGTAAAGAAGTTTAATCACACCGTTTTTGAACTGTTTTTCCGAAAACGTCTGTTGGTGGTGATTGCATTTAATCGTGTTCTTGACTAACGTAGAAATAAAGGAGTGAATGGTATCTTGTTCGATCTTGTATACTGACTTAGTGGTTAGTGCTTAAAAGTTTTGTGAGATTTTTGCCCCCTCTAACAAAGCGAATAAAACTTACAGATAATAATTTTATTTAAACCAAAACATCTCGAAATGTCCAGAGTCTGGATTCTATTGCTTATTCAATATGAATTATGATCTAAGCTACCTTATTTGATGCTAAATTATTTGTTTACATACAACTCATTGTTACATCAGCCTATAGGTTTAAAATCAGTACCCATAAATTTAAGAAAATGATTTGCTTTACTCAATAACTTTATCGAACGTGCAGTAAAAAGAAAATCAGTCTTGCAAGCGTTTTAGAGGGTATGTGAATAATGACCTTTTTCTGAATTCAAACACGGTAGACTTTATTGCTTGGCCGATTGGACGTCTGATCCTATAAACCTTGCTTATAACTTGTACAATGAATTAAAATCGACGGACTGCATTGTTTGCATGTAGTCTCTTACAGTACTTAAGTCAATATATATTGCTCGAATCGTCATCTTAATTATTTGAACACGCACTTCAGATGTATACATTGTAAGTTACGCCTAAACATTTAGAAGTATGTTCTAAGTAGCTATACAGGTAGGCCACTTAAGAGGATTGAATATTAGTTCCTGAGAGTACTTTGTTCCTGGTTAGATCATATGATTAGCTAATAAATTGGCTAATTGATCACGATAAAACTTTGATATTGATACTGATTCGTTAAAATTTGAATGAAATTTATCCAGCAGGTGTTTTACAGAGGTGTGCCAGAAAATGTTATGAAAGAACAAATACATGGACAACGTTTCTATAGAGGACAGCCAACTGAGGGTCAAAACATGAATAATTATATGGTAAATTCATTTTAACGAGATACATTCCGATTGCACTCGCTAGTTTTCTATGCACTACAGTTTTGCTTGCTTTTTTCTGTTAACATTTTACCTTCTTTTCTGCCCTGAGACTATTAAACATTACGTTGTCATCATAACTTTGAAGCAGGCCGTGTTTTTTAAATTGAGGTAGATTTGGACTTTGACTAGTATTATGACACAAAAAGAGCGGTAGGATAGAGACTATCATTTTACATTTGCGAGGTCAAAATGGTATTAAAATTTCGTGTAATTATCAAAATCCATAACAGTTTGGATGATTTATAGAGTGTTTGTGTATAGTAGGCATCATAAATCACAACAATATTGGTGATATACCTTTCGAAGACAAACTTTTGTGAGTACCCGTTATTATTCAAAACTGCAACATAACTTTTGTAAGCTATTATTTGTGCTGTAAAAATAAATTTTTTGGAGGCAAAGGTATTTTGTACTCTGATTAATGTTTCTATAAATTCATTTAATATCCATACTATACAACTTATGAAGTAAGACTATAAAATATATTTATTTTATTTACGACTCTCTGATCAGTAAAAAACGTTTTGTCAAACACTACCACTGAACACAATATATGCTATAAAATAAATTTACTAGGAAATCAAGGTTTCACCATTTTAATTTAAACCTATGTTCACTTGTTTACAGCTTTATGTTGATTCATGCCACTTTTGCAAAATAAAGCCTACATATTTCAGGCATCATGTTGAATTATTTTCATATAAGTATTTAAAATGCTTCTGCACACCCGTTTAAAATTGGATGAAAACGGGATTCTTTTTCATGGTCATTAAAATAACAATTCTTATCATAATAATAGTGATATGTATACTTTTAATATGATAAAGTCCCCAAAATTACTGGTTTGATACTAACAAACTAAGGTATTGTGTTATTTTATTTATAAGGATCCTTAATTGCATTTGATAGAAATACAGATTATTACTATAAGATAATGTCCTAGGTCGAATCCAAACCAAATTTAATACATGTAGGCAAACAATTTCTTACAACACAAGAGTCAGTAATATTGAAATATCCAATACTTAATTTTCTTACTCATAGATTTAATTCACCAGTTTATACAGAATCTGTAGTTATTAAACAATGTGAAGTAATCGGTTTGGGAGACGACAGAACAAGGCTCATGAAATAAAAGAAAAAATGAGTCGTAATCGTAATTAAAAATCAACAACTTGGACTATTGAGAAAATAGACGACATTCATTTTAGAACAGTAAATATTCTTATGAATGATTTTGTTTGGGTTACCTTAGGAAACTGGTATTTTAAATAAATAAATAAATACTCTCACTAAGTGCTCTTGAATATCTCTTTGAGCTGTTCAGTTTCAGAGTCAATATTATCTTTGTTGTTTGCATAGAAATCTTATATTTATTTGAGATAAATAGTGACCGAATAAGTGCGTTTCATTAGTGATCAGGATATATTCGTACAATGCCGGTGAATTGAGTAAATCAACATATTATGCAACTCATTATAATCTGTAGTCATTTATACCTTTTATACTACTTCTGTATATATCCGATTATCTGTACTTTGGGACAGCTACATTTAAAATGTATCCTGAAATATGAATTCAGTGAACAAGTGAAAAAGTACACACTATCATACATTGATATTGAATTTCTACCATTATCTAATGTTGTAGGATGCGTATGATCGTATGAAACCGTCAAATATGTACAACGACATGTCAAATAAAGCAAGGTAATAAATTATCTTCACTAACAGCATCCTAACAATTATTCCTTCTGTACGTTATCAACGTGGTGAAATTAGTGATCTATTCAGTTATTTTTGCAATTATTTTGGCAATATAAACATTATTAACACAGAGCAACATAAAATACTTTTTTATTTTCACTAAATATAATATGTACGCTTTGAAAGTTATTTTAATTATAAAAACTGCTTTTATTAACTTAGTCACTGTTTTTCCCAACCTGTTATTTTCCACAAATAAAGATCAATGGTAAATTCATTTCAGATGAAATACTGTTTCTTTATATCCCTTACCATTATAGTTATTGTAAGAAAAGCCTAGAGATAAATCGTGATTGGCGATTAATCTGTGTTTCTTTAATCTTACCGACAGGTTTGTGGTAACGTTTTCCAAATTACAAATAGCATCCATAGGTACTAAAGAAATGAATTCCGGATTCACTTTAACGGGTAGTTTTTGTCAAACATTTTGTTTACTTATACAACACATTTGATCGTTCTTTCATTTTCGTGCAAGTAACCTACGAGATTGGCATAAATTATAGTATCAATCAAGATTGAAGACCTCAACGTTTTAGTCATTCAGTAATATATACTGCTTATAATCATTTTTTACATTTATGATAAAGAAAGTGATTATTCCCTAATACAACGAGTTGAACAACCAGCTATTTTTTTATTCTTATCATTCCACTGTAGGTCGTATTCAAAATGGAATGATTATGATCGCTCGCGTCCAATCGATTCGTACAGGTAAAAGCACTCCATCAGTTCTTGTTTCGATAATTATCAAACAGAATTGAATTTTTAGAAACAGATTAGCAAAAAGCTGTCTGTTCGTTCATTGTTTCCCTACAATATTTATTTATTTCTCATTTTTTAATTCTTGAAATCAGCTCAGTTAGGCCTATGGTAATTCAGGTTAAGAGTGATATAGATTCCCTAACATGCAACGTTATTACGAACAGGACAATACTGCTACTGACACACAACGGTTAGACAACGACCCTGAAACAGTAAAACTCACGAATAAGGCAAGATATTAATCTAAGAGGAAACAGCAACAGAACAACCCTAAATGCATAGTAATGAAGCCTGACTTCCATCAGAGAGAGGTTATCAAATTAAAAGTAAAGATAACAAATCAGAATAAAACATCAAGTGTCTTGTTGAAATACGAATTATGGGAAATGTTATTGTGGAGGGGGGCTGCTGCCGATCCCAAGCCCGGATAAAGGAGGGTTGGGCGTGGGGTTAGCAACCCCAACCGGTAGAAAACTAACTAACTCTCTAAAAAACGCTAACCAGTAAGTAAGTTATTGTGATTGTACTGACTGAAAAAGATTAAAATTTAACAAATATTGGTTTACCTGAGGTATTCGTAGCAGTTTTCATTACAGTCAGTAACACATTCTACATATGAAAATGAAAAGAACTCGACTAAAATAAAATGGGTAAAAACATAAATAGGCAGATACAAGGCCAAACAGAATTGGTATCTCAACTAGCTGACATGTCAAAGGCTTTGTCCTATCAAATAATATGTAGTTTATTCTCTTAGTGAACAAAAGAGAGAAAGAAAATACATGATATAAGAATACGTTTTCCCAAAATATAGGTATTGCATCACACACTAAATTTGGGCATAACTTCTACATCATATAGATCTCCAGTAAATAATAATTAGTAATTGGAACGACAATATTGATTCACGTTGTTAGGAAAATGACGGTAATTGAGGATAAAAAGGTGCATGATATTTCATTGCATAAGAACATTAAACCAGTTAACTCATAATTACTTGAGATATAATAAATTCACCATGTGATTAATTTTGAAAACATTTTTTAATTACTTATAAAAGTAGAAATATTCGAGACGGATTTGAGCCACGAAACGCCTCTCCATACGCAAAGAATTTAATGGGTGATTTACCAACAACAAGGTGAGTGCTATAATGTCTCTCCAACATCATACTTTTCAATGTGTCAGTAATTTTCAATCAAACAATCAGTACTACATAAAAACATAGCACATTATAAAAGTGACTATGCTGAAGTGTTAAGTAAAGTATGATAGTTTCGATTAATTGAATATTTCAACAAACTCCTACAACCTCTATGGGTTCACGAAAACACACAAAATATTATCGACGGGTTAGCCGAATATAAACACATACTTAAACCAGTTATTCGTTTTTAATGAATTTAGACACAATGATTTCCTCAAATGATTTATATTGTTGTGTTTTTAAATATTTCTCAATACAGAAATATTCGAGACGGATTTGAACCACGAAACACTTCTCCATACTCAAGGAATTTGATGGGTGATTTACCAACAACAAGGTGAGTGCTATAATGCCTCTCCAACATCACACTTTTCAATATGTCAGTAATTTTCCATCAAACAATCAGTACTACATACAAATACAGGACATTATAAAAGTGACTTTATGCTGAATTCGAAAATAAACTGTGATGGTGTCGATTAATCGAATATTTCAACAAACTCCTACAACCACTATGGGTTCACGAAAACACACAAAATATTATCGAAGGGTTAGCCGAATATAAACACGTACTTAAACCAGTTATTCGTTTTTATTGAATTTAGACACAATGATTTCCTCAAATGATTTACATTGTTGTGTTTTTAAATATTTCTCAATACAGAAATATTCGAGACGGATTTGAACCACGAAACGTCTCTCCATACTCAAGGAATTTAATGGGTGATTTACCAGTACCTAGGTGAGTGGTATCATGTGCATATAAACACGGAAGATTTGTAGTACTAAATTTCGACCTATATATTATTTGTGTGCAATGTGTTTGCATTTTGTTCTCTTTATATGGTTTGGATTTTATTGTTTCCTTTTGAACAAGAAATGATGTAGTTTGTGGGATCTGTTGTGGATGTTAGTTTGGTGATTGTATGACTTGAAATTCACGGTTTTGTGAACTGATTTCTCCTGTATCCTATTGAGAATCGTTTATTATTGCTGATTACCTTATTGATTTGTTTGATGAAAATGTCAGTGATACCTTTGTCATTTATTGTGGTAGTTCTGTTAGTTCTACTTCAATTGGTGTTATTTAAGAATATTAGAAAATGGAATTTCTCGATTGTTTTTGATATCAGATTATGTTTTGGAATGCATGTCTCTGTGTCTCAGATTGACAGTAGTGAATTAGTTTCATTGATGTAATGCATTTATTGGTATGTATTAAATTATGATAATTATCGTAGTGTTTTTAGTTAAGTCTTAATGTTACTGTGTCTGATTGTTTGATTGATATGTTTCTGTCTTTTGTCAAATTGTGTTGAAAGTTTTCTCGATACCCCTTGTTCTTTGTGTCGACTACATGTCTTCATTCGTACTATTTTTATTCCTATACTTCAAGTCGAGTAACTTGCAACATTTTTCTCGAATAATTCATTTTAAATTTGCATCTTTTAAATAACTTTTAATTTAGAAGCACTCATACTGCACGTGAACCGCGCCGCTTATCGCCATATGCCAGTCGTTCAAATAATTTAATGGGAGATTTGCCGGACATTCAGTGAGTGGTATAATGTTTGCGTAAATAAGGAAACTTTATAATATTAATTTGCTGATTGTGTCATTTATGTGTAATCTGTTTTCAAATAGATGAAATAGTCTTAAATTCACAGAGAATCGGAACAGGAAGACTGTTGTTCTAAAGTTGATAGTAGAACACTGTCGAGTGTTTTATTTCATCTTCCGTAACACATTGACAATTTTATCAATACTCTCATTTATGCATTGATTCCACTCCTATTTGATTATTTATTTACAAGTGATACATAGTGAGGTAATTATTTCTAAACTGTCAAAGGTCTCTGAAGTACCATGGATACACTATATTCTTTTTTCAGACATAATGTCTAATGAGTTAATTTGACAACAAAATCTTTTTCAATATTCGTGTTTTTCATCGTTTCACCAGTTCAACATCATGCTTTAACTTAATAATCTATTTGAGTTTTCCTCTCACGTAATAATGAAATAATGATTATTCTTGTTATGCATTTGATAAACCTTGTTTGCATTAGATATAAATATATTACAGTTGAAGTGAACTTTATATATTGAAACAATATGTAACCTCCTGGATTCGCCGTTCATCCTATACAAATGAGCAACATAGTTACTATCAGATTTATTAGATAACCTTGGACAGCTAAAACAAATGCTAATACTGGAAAAAACTCCCAGATTACTTTTAAAAGTGATTGTCTTAGGAAAACGAAGTTCGCTTGAACTCCATTCGTTGAGATGAACATCAGCCTTTGAACTCATATTCGGTTTAGCCAAAGTAATCATAAACAGCTCTTTATTTCTTCCATAATAAACATTGGGAACTGTATTGAATTTTAAGCTGAAATAAAGCTTGAATACAAACTTCAAAGCTGCATTTACTTCATCTGATAAATTACCAGTTTAAGAGTAATAACAGTTTACAGACGATATTTCCGTTAATTATTGTTCCTAGTCTTCTAATCGCTTTTGCTGTTGTTGAGTTAGAGAAGTGGTTTGACCGTATTACTTGTGAAAAGTATATTAAAATTATTTTCTTATCACCACTGTTAAAACCATGGATTTACTGAGTTTTGGAAATCTAATCCTCTTCGAAAGAATAAGAAGTTGTTAGAAAACGATGAACGGATGAGGTCACATTTTTCACTCTGTAAGTTCTGTCCAGTATTAGTTTCATTTTCAATGTAACCGGACAATTGTTTAGTCTAATGTTTGATTCATAGTCAGTATGGTGTCTTATTAAGTATAGCAATGGTTTTACTTTGATCCGAAATTTATTCAAAATAATAATATATTTTGTATTGATTTAGTGTGATTTTCTTTTCATAAGATAGAGCATGATTGATTATGTAATAATCACTGTATTTCGTTAATACCATGAACCAATCAGTGTTAGACCATCATTGGAAACTTCAAAGAACCGAAGTGCCGTTTTGTCTTAGTATAGGAAGCCTCAACATTGTACATCCACGAACCTGTATGCGAAAACTGAGCACAGGACCCTTAGGCTCGCGCGCGAACGTCTAACTTCTGAACCATTGAAACGGCATCCAACGGTTTCTATGTCTAGGTTCAATGGATATGCGATAGTACGTGGCCATCTTCCACCGTCTTCAGTGGGAAACTGTCTTTGTGGTTCGTATAGCGGACTTCGTTTAATCGTTTGATGATCCTACCAAAATCTACATGCAGTCAACCCTCGTATCTTACTATCGACTTACTTTGCGTTAGTGAAAAACGGGCTAAAATAAGTCAAATACGAGAATGAATTTCGAATACAAATATTTGTCATACACTCGTTGATTCAGACAAACAAGCGGTGAAACGAAGCGTAGAAGCAGATCATAGAACGCAAGTGTGCAAACTTGGTTTCATTAAACTTGACTCAATATTTATAGCCAGATAAAGAAACGCCAAATACTTGTGATGAATAGGGTGAGGGATACACACATACGCTCATATAAAAGTAGTCATGGTTTGTAAGCGAATAATTTACAAAGTTAAAATGAAACTTAAGAGGAATAAATAAATTGGTCTGTTGGCAGTTAGGACAACCCAATATGAACTTGAAATAGTACTAGACACCTCACCGTTTCACAACCGACGCATCAACTCCATGGATCACCACTCTCCACTAAAACTCTGGAAATTTGACGTCAGAGCTAGCCACTAATGGGGATGTGATGGATGTCAACTAATTGGCCCAGAGGTTAAACGGTTGTGTGTGAGTCTAGAGATCCTGTGATCGATTTCCCCACCCAGGCTCGTGAGTGTGTATCGATGAAGCATCCCCTCTTTGGATGAAACGGCCTTTACGTTCTTTAAAGTTTTCAATGATAGTCTATCATTGATAGGTTCATGATTTCAATGCAACTCAACGATCTCCACAACTTCTTATTAACAATTTAATATGTTTTTTACTATTTGTGATATTTGTTGATTCATAAAAAAATGGGAGTAAAATCAACACGTAACTGAGAATGTCGGTTTAAGTTGTTGATGTGCTATAAATGGTGGAATAACTCATCATCTACATCAATAACTATTTTCTCACTTGAATGGTACAAACCACAGTTTTTACTTATTTTAAGAAATCGTTTGTCTAGTAATTACAGCAATTGCAAAGTATGTTTATTATTATATTCTCTTACTATGTTGATATCATTTCATTTTCAGGAATTACGCCACCAAAGTTTACTCATTTGACTTGTAGTGAATGTCTTATATGTGGTTTATCGATTTAAGTTTTTTTTTATTGTTTAATAACATGTTGTTATTTGTAGCTAACTTTCTAGTTATTTTTTTTAGGATTTGGTTTGTATAAAATTTTTTTATAGAATGTGGTCATGATTAATCTAGTGCTCTTGTTCTCTTTTTTCGTTCCTCTTTTTGCCATCCAACTGTCTACATTATGTATGTGATTATAACAGTTAGTTAATTTATGTCATTATACCTCGGTTTGTCCCTTTCTTTTCATTTCACTACAGACACAATCGGGAAACTTATGAACCTCACTATATTCCTGTGAAATTAAATCGTTCAAATAATTTAATGAATAATGTGTCAGAACCTAGGTCAGTAATATAATGTCTGCGCAAATAATAATGGTTTATAAAAATTGCTTTTCAATAAATATTCCATTTGATTGAAACAACTTTTTAAATTTACATTTTTTTGAGCGAATGTTCTATTCGTTATTGAAATTCATATAGTATTTCGCGATTAAATTTAAATATGATTGTTGTAAATTATTTACCCAACTTATTTTCCTAGTATAATCAAAAGAAAGTGACTAGAGTAGACTACAGGAGAGCTTCTAGTGTCTAAACATAGGTTACAATGAATATTTACGTATGCCAAGTCTATCAACAACTACATGATGCACTTGTTTATATTCGTTTAAAGTCACATTTACTTTCAAGTCAATAAACTTGGACAGTATACACAAAAACTGAATGAGAATAACTTGAATAATTTTACCACTGACCTGGAGACGTTCACGTTTCATCAGATGGTTGAATAATGTCAAAAGTTTGAGTCTATCATTTCAATAGTTGAAATCATGAGTCAATTGAAGCTAGACCACAATGAAAAGCCTGGAAGCTGTTTCGTCCCAGTACGGGATTCCTCAGCAGTGTGTATCCACTATCCCGTCCCCCGCGAGATTCAAACCCAGAACCTATCAGTCCGGCGCGCAAGAGCTTAGCCGTTAGACCACTGAGCCGGTATTCAATGGTGTTAATGTCTAACTTCAACTAATCCACGAAATTGTGCCACCGTACACCATTGTCTTCAGTTAGTTGATATCTCACAACAGACCTGATTGAACTCCACTGGTTACGACTTCTCACTAGAACTTCAGGATATGCCTCTTGAAGTCAGTTACTAGTGAGCAGATGATTATTATTCGTCATACTCATATATAGGTTGTTGCCATACTGTTATTCAAAGCTGTCGTGTAAAATCATGGTATTGCAAGACAAACTACAGAATCAAGAGATCAAAGACAGGTTTTCTCTGACCATTTAATAACGAATTATTTGTCGGTGATACAGGTTGTGCTAGTATAAAATACAAATTAAGCTTAAATAGTTTTATCATAATAAAACTAGTCATTTTCAAGATACATAAATGCATATTCATTCACTTGTCAATAAGTTAGTTGCAAAATCTATATTCTTACCAGGCGGTCACAGTTTAGTTAGTTTCATCAAATAATAACTGTTTTAATAAAGAAGTTTGTAAACAAAATGATTGAAAATTTTCAGAGTAAATTTAAGGTGAAACTCTCAATTCCTATCGTTTATATTACAAAATATAGACTAATATATTTGTTTGAGAATATTTGACCACTTCTGCTTATTTTCTCTAATAATACATGATTTATACGATCGGACTCCATTAGTATGTAGTTTTGCTTTTCAGTTTGTAATTTAACCATTATCATTTATTTTAAGTTTATTATTTGCAGTTGTTTTATTTTAGTCAGCTAATTGCCATTGTGTGTAGCATTTCAGATAATGAATAAAGTGCTAAACACAATAAATAATGACTAATGATTAAATATTATGCGTTAAAAACACTTTTAAAAAATTAAGAGGTTAGAGCACTGATGATTTGCTGGAAAATTATACATCTAACTGATGAATAATGTCACATCAGAAACCTTTTATGGTGTAGGCGCTGGTATTATGTCAAGAGCACAATGGTTATTCTAGCCTCTTGACAAATCAATCTACTCATTCTTCTCTAACCAAATTTCTACCATGTCGCTTATTAGCAATATCAACCTCACTGTTTTTATATAAGCGTATGTATGTGCATTTGTGGTCTTACTCATCACATGTCTGTAACTTATTTTTGCTGATTATAAATGTTGATTAACGCTTGGTTAAATGGAGTTGAGTCACACAAAACCTCTTTATGTTTGTTAGAAGCCATACTGATATCCGTTATTCTTTGCCATCTTTGACCAATTTTTCTGTCAAGTCCATGTATTAGATATTTGTCTGCGTCACTCATACTGAGTTCACAACATTTGAAATTTTCCATCGAACAATCAGTACTACATACAAATACAGGACATTATAAAAGTGACTTTATGCTGAATTCGAAAATAAACTGTGATGGTGTCGATTAATCGAATATTTCAACAAACTCCTACAACCACTATGGGTTCACGAAAACACACAAAATATTATCGAAGGGTTAGCCGAATATAAACACGTACTTAAACCAGTTATTCGTTTTTATTGAATTTAGACACAATGATTTCCTCAAATGATTTACATTGTTGTGTTTTTAAATATTTCTCAATACAGAAATATTCGAGACGGATTTGAACCACGAAACGTCTCTCCATACTCAAGGAATTTAATGGGTGATTTACCAGTACCTAGGTGAGTGGTATCATGTGCATATAAACACGGAAGATTTGTAGTACTAAATTTCGACCTATATATTATTTGTGTGCAATGTGTTTGCATTTTGTTCTCTTTATATGGTTTGGATTTTATTGTTTCCTTTTGAACAAGAAATGATGTAGTTTGTGGGATCTGTTGTGGATGTTAGTTTGGTGATTGTATGACTTGAAATTCACGGTTTTGTGAACTGATTTCTCCTGTATCCTATTGAGAATCGTTTATTATTGCTGATTACCTTATTGATTTGTTTGATGAAAATGTCAGTGATACCTTTGTCATTTATTGTGGTAGTTCTGTTAGTTTTACTTCAATTGGTGTTATTTAAGAATATTAGAAAATGGAATTTCTCGATTGTTTTTGATATCAGATTATGTTTTGGAATGCATGTCTCTGTGTCTCAGATTGACAGTAGTGAATTAGTTTCATTGATGTAATGCATTTATTGGTATGTATTAAATTATGATAATTATCGTAGTGTTTTTAGTTAAGTCTTAATGTTACTGTGTCTGATTGTTTGATTGATATGTTTTCTGCTTTCGTTTAATTGTATTGAAATAAAATTTGTTGAAACGTTCATTGGTACGTTGTTGTTAGTTTATATTGTATGTTTTTATTTACGATTATATTTTGGTATCGTGTCTCAGTATTTACGATTCCTTTAAACGCCTTTTTCGGAGTATCTTTTACTGTACAACTGTGTACGGTACTGGCTGTTTTACTTATTTGATATTTCTGTTTATCAAACAATAATTCATTGGTTATTTTTTATTTTCTTCTTTTGTTTTTACGACTTTTTTAGTTCTGTTTCTAGTAATGGGAACACATATTCATACTCTATCCCACAACGTCCTAATTTGAAAATAGTTCGCGAGTAAGTTGAATTGGTGGTATAATTTTTTTTCTTGGTACTCTTTATTATGCAATAAAATGCTTCTTGTGAAAAACAAAACAAACAAACAAAGTATATTAGTATCATAGATAAAATTATTGTAACTAATACCATAGAAATTCTGTAGTGAATTCTGTAATTAAGTAACTTTTAAGCATATGATTGAAATTGTTCCTTGTTTTTTATTTTATTTATTTATTCCGTCTTTAGTATTTACCATGTCACCTAGCTTGTTCCAAATTGATAAAGATTATTTAATAATAGATGATTTATTATATGTTACACTAATAAATTTATGATTTATTGAATAGTGTCATTAATAAATCGGCGAGATTATAATTTATGGACGAACCAATCAGATTTACGTTAACAAGTCTTAGATTTTGGCGCGAAATTCATTCAACCATTTGGCTAAATAGAATTATGGCATTATAGTTGATGTCAGTTCGTGATGAAAACCCTAAATCTAATTCCTGACCTAAACCATCAACTGTAAATTATAATCCTTATTCTTCAAACTGCTTTATAACCCTCAGTTAGCCCTAGTATTTAGATGGACACTCTCAAGGTTAGCCTAGCGTTGCTCAAAGGCCATCCATAAATTATAGTCTCACCAATAAATCTTATTGAGTTTGAATTAAAAAGTTACAAGTTTTTAATGGTTAAATAATCTAATTTCAATTTATTGTTTTATTCTAGAGAGGATACATTTAACAGATATATGGATTAGAATAAAACTTGATATTCATTTAATCACTTTGACAAATACACTAGAAATAATAGTGGTAAGTAATATTTAATAATATTAATAATAATGATAATACTTATTAACTGGTACAAAATATAACTGTAAATTGAGAAACACATTCATTTTACACTGAAAATACACTGAAATTGTGAGATTATACTCTATCAAAATTTTAGTTAATGATAACAGAAATACTAGAACGAAACGGCCGTCCAGTGCTTCCAGGTTTTCCGTGGTGGTCTAGCTTCAATTGACTCATGATTTCAACGAGAGAAATAAATTTCATTGAAGTTGATTTACTTGTAACGCCTAGATAAATTTTTTTAATATCAGTTTAGGGAGTTTGTGGAGATTATAGTAATTCAATGGTTGAATTTTTATGAATCCATATAAGCGGGATCGTAAATGTCCAATAATGAAGAGTCTCATAGTAGGATGAAATGGTCGTCTAGTGCATATAGGTTTTTCTATGGGGCGTTTAACTTAAATTGATTCATGAATTCAATCATTTAAGTTATTCAAGATCATGTTTTGTGGAATCGTATGATTGGTTATTAAAATCATGTTAAACCATAAAAAAAACAACGAATTTTTGAATAGTATTTTAGAAATTACTCATAAAATTCTCGACAAATAATGTTCAATAAATAAATAAATAAACTATTTTAACATTTACATAGTGACAATACAGTTTTTAATTCCAATGTAGGAAGCAATTTCCTACAGGTGTAACTCTAAGCTATTCTCTAGACTGTCGAACACAGAGTCTTGGTTTAGCCAAAGTCAGAACAAGTAAACTATTTGGCTTGATAAACTTTATCTGTTTCTTAAAAACATAAATTAACACCATTAGTGTACAAAACAAACAGTACAATCTATTAACACAGGGAAAAACAGTGACATAAATAACATACTGAACAGTAACTAGAGGATAGGGAAAATGAGTCAACATAGCAAATATTATTTTATAATGAACATAAAATTGTGATTGATAAATAAACAAGACATAGTCATACAAGGTCAAAGAAAGTTGGTTGGCGTTTCACTTTATCAATGACGAGTTCGTTTATCGATCACACTTTACAACCAAATTTCCCGTAAAAAGTTTTTTTTTTATTTCTTGTTTAATGATTGATCTTTTTTTTGTTTTTTCATTTAGAAACTGTGTTTTGTAATTTTCAAGTTTGTTGTTTATTTGAATCTTCATTTTGTTTTCGTTTTTTTTAATTTCAGATTTGAAACAAATAACACAGTAGTATCATAAAATTATGGATAAACTATATATGAGTGTAGACAAATTATTTTTTAAGAATTTTTAATATTTTTTAGTTATATGTAAAATAAGATTTTAATTTAATCATTTATTTGTATTTTGTTTTAAATATAGAAAAATACTTTATATCAATTTGTTATAATTTGTGGCTTGTGTGCTCTGTTAATGTATAAAGTAATGATACCGCCAATGAGAGAGCAGTGACTTATCGATCGGACCAATGACGCGTAAAACCCTTACAAGCAGTCTACAATACTTATCGGTCCTAATTCCTGAGTAACCTAGTCAGTTAAATCCAAAATACCAATCCGAGCCTCTGTGATATAAATCATTATATTTCAAACATACTGAGTTTATATTATCAATCAAACAGACCACAATGTACCATATATAGAAAACAACATTTAAAAGACTAGTATTTGAACGAAGAATATTCTTTTCGATGGAATTCTCTTCAGGTTCTACAATTATATATCCAAATCAATAATCCGAAAAATGGCCAGGTTAAGGGCAAAGTACATCGTTTAGAACATGTGAATTTAGGATTGTGATAAACAAAATACAATAAAATTGTTAATGTTAATATGACTCAGATAGAATGTTAACTTGAATCTGCGTATATGTTAAGTGAGATTTAAGATCCATGATCAGAATAAATATGGGTCAAATAGGGTGAGAGAGAAATAATACTGCAATTACAACTCGATCAAATAAGTAATACGTAATACGGAGGAATGAATGCGAAGTGAATGAATCATGTATAGGGGAGATTAATGATGTTTAAACCAATCTTTTTCAATTATTTATAAGGTAAGTAATTTTTTGCCAAAACTGGTCAGACTGAAAGTCCTTCAAACGGCTGAAGCAATAGCCATCCGGATGAAGAAACCAGAGCTTTGCGTACAGAAGAAATATATTCAACCACTCCTCCTCCCCTGGCCAACATCAAGGCCAATGAATCAATCGTAATCTTAACTACTGAATGAACTAATTTGACTATGACCTTTCGTAGTCAATTGTCATTGTCCCTGTTATCTTTATTCATAAATCTTTGTATTATTATTATTCGTATTATTGGTTAAACATCATTAATCTCCCCTATACATGATTCATTCACTTCGCATTCATTCCTCCGTATTACGTATTACTTATTTGATCGAATTGTAATTGCAGTATTATTTCTCTCTCACCCTATTTGACCCATATTTATTCTGATCATGGATCTTAAATCTCACTTAACATATACGCAGATTCAAGTTAACATTCTATCTGAGTCATATTAACATTAACAATTTTATTGTATTTTGTTTATCACAATCCTAAATTCACATGTTCTAAACGATGTACTTTGCCCTTAACCTGGCCATTTTTCGGATTATTGATTTGGATATATAATTGTAGAACCTGAAGAGAATTCCATCGAAAAGAATATTCTTCGTTCAAATACTAGTCTTTTAATATGACGGGGGTCTTTAAAACAACATTTGTACAAGATTTGGCCAGAAGTGGCTATGAATGTGGGAGGTAGTGATTAATAGACAGGGCATAATTCAAGAATGGTAAATTGTATAATAATAGTTCATAGGTCAAAATAAGCTCATAATAAGTGGGACACGAATATGATCAGTTTAGTTATTTAACAATATACACATAGTATTGGTCCATAATGGATCCAAAAAGTTATCATTCATTATGCTTATCGAAGCATTACACAATTGTTTTGAAATTTTATATCAATATCTAAACTTTACTGAGTTAAAGGATAACATTTCAGGAAATTATTACATAGAATAGTGCAGTTATTGTAATCGTAAATTAACTTTTTTGTGAAAGTAATTTTTACAAAGAGTAGTTTTCCTAGTGCCAACAACTCTGGAAATATAATCCTAATAGTTCATGAAAGTAGTGACACAAAAGGTAAAAACCAAAAGTCAGTAAATTAATTTGATAGTAAATTATAATATAGTACTTATGCACGTCACTCCCCTCGTAAAGGACCATAAACCGTTGACCAGGATTCTCTATCCTGGGTGACCCTTTCCAGTTGTTTCTAGTTTCTATTCATCCTTTCGATCTATAGTGATGAGTTCCATTCAGTTGATTGTTTAATGATGATCCAGTGTCTCGATTTGGTCTGTGCACGACCTATCCTTACGGAATCCAGTCTGCTGATCTCGGAGCTGGACGTCCACTGAATCTTTCATTCAATTCAAAAAACTTCTGTCGAAAACCTTTGCCGGTACTGATAATAGTGTGATACCTCTGTAGGTCTTAAATTTGTTCGGATCTTCTTTAGCATCTTGATGAAATGACCTTCTTCCCAGTCCGTCGGCACTTGTTTCTCCTTCCAAATCTTTCTGAATAGAACATGAAGCAGATGATGACATAGCATATCGTTAAAATTTGTACCTAGCGTTAAATGTTAACTGATAGACATAATTAAATATTTCAGTCATTAAACAAATAGGATGCAGTAGCAAAGAATGACATAGTTATGTTGAGGAAAATGGTGGGAATTAGCAATGAGAACTAAAATGATAATTTTCTGTAGAAATAATCAAAACTCTATCTTAAAAATCCAGCTGTCTTTTGAGTAACTTTGTTTTTTTTCTTTAAATTATTATGATTATCATAAATATATATGCGCTGTGAAATCCTGGAAATCTTTCTGTTATCAGTGAGATGACAGTTACTTTAGCAATTCAACGATTGCAAATAATCAAATATATTGCATATCATAATATCCCTTTTGATATTGTAATATATACCAGCCTACTTAGGCAAATATTATAAAAGCAATATACAGATAAATTTAGTGCGTCCAAGCACGTGATGCCAATGAAATAATGAGAGAATTAGTCATAAAGAAGTATATACACCTAAGCGAAATATTTTGCTGAATACAATATATATTCAATTGTTTTAGGATGGAATGAACCAGCTCTTGAGTTAATAGCTCATTCATTCCTTTATTAGTTCAATTAAACATCACTATTTTCAACAGTTCAAGAAAATCGTGAATAAATCACCACATATGACGAAGATAACTATGTACACAACCGTACATTTATGAACCATGAATTTGATGGTAAATATTTATTGACAATTTTCATCAATTTCTAACACCTGACACAAAATTCCCAGTATAATGGTTATTTAAAGTGTCTTAAACAACCTCAAAGTGCATTTACTAGATGTGAGGGTGAGAAATTCAATTTCTACCGTGAATACAAGTAATCGTTTGAACCCATGATCTATCATGGGTATACAGTAAACAAGTTGTAGTGGCTACTTACATCTTAAATGTTTGGAACAATTTCTATGAAGCAATATATTTTTCTAACAATCACTTAAAGAATTGTTTAAATAATGGTATTTTCTGCATTACGATGTGCTGTAAAAGATAATCGATGACAGATAACCATGAATAGATTAAAATATCATTCTATTAAATTCAGTAGTTGTCAACCACAATTTGTGGATTATTAGTAATTGTATAGTTACAACCATATTAACTGGAGTTACACAACCTATTTTAACCTGATATAACCTTAGTAATAAAATAAAAACTGATCATAGCTTTCGTTCTCACAGCTGTTGAAGGATTTTAGTAATACAAATAAACAGTTGTTCACATGTACGCATGCAAGTTCAATGTCCTCAAAGACGACAAAATGTTCGTACGGTCCGTCGATAAACTGAGAAAGAA